GACATGGCCGGTGGAATCGATCAGGAAATTCTCGGGCTTCAAGTCACGGTGAATATACCCCAGAACATGTAGCGCGTCAATGCAGCTGAACATTTCAGCAATGTAGAAGCGCGCGTGACGATTATGGAGAACACCGGTATTATTCAGCAGCGTGCGGAAGTCTCCACCAGGAACATACTCCATGGCCAAGTAGATCTGGGAATCATCCTGGAAGGCATAGAGCAGCTTGACTAGCCACTCGCTCTTGGCGGCAGTGAGAATATCGCGCTCGGTCAGGATATGGCGAATCTCGTCCAGCTTGAAAAGCAGCTTCTTGCTCATGACTTTCAACGCGCATACTTCACGTGTATCTTTCTTCTGTGCCAGATACACCTGTCCATACCCACCCTGACCAACCTGAGTCAGAATCTGGAAATCGCCCTGGCGGAGACGTGTGCGACGCTTCCGCAGATGTGCGCGCTCGCGACCGAGGTATTTTAGGAGGGCGGGCTCGTGCTCTTCATCAGGGGTAGCAGGGGGGTCGGGGTAGGCGGCTTTAAATTGTGAGTGGCGGGTTTGGCGATTGTGAACGTAGCTGAGGAGATCGAAGTAATGGTCAAGAAAGTCTATCGGGCATGATAGTCAGTCAATCTATCTTCAAATTGTTGGGCTGGGCCGCACTTACACAGTTGAGTCACATTGACAAGGCGCTTTACTTTGGGCTGTGCTAGCTTCTCCATTTCCTCGGGGGTCAGGCCGCGCATCTGGACCTGGCGTCTGGTTGTGTCATCGCGTGGTTGGTATGGTTCCTGACGTGAGAGAGCCGCAGCGGTCGGAGTTGATCCCAGGTCCTTCGTTAGGCGCGTTGGGTTAGGGGGTGTGTTCTCCTTGTTGGCCCTACGCGTTGGGCTCGAAGGGTTCTGGTGGATAACGCTCTCATTGAAGTCCTCGCCACTTTTGCCAGCAGAGAACATTGGATGATTGTAGTGGTTGTATGTCGATTTGGAGGGAGAAGTGGGAGTCAACTTCATCGCCTTGTCGAAAACATTGGGTAGGTCGAGTGCGCCCGGAGGTAATCTTGACTTGCTGGGGCTACCCTGAGGGGTCTGTGGGGGACTGGTAAATCCATCGGCAGGAGTAGAGGGGCGATCGAATTGACCACGAGTATGTAACAGTGGTGGGGGATTAGGGAGTCGTAGACCAAGATGGTCCTCTGAAATAATAGCCATGGTGTTGATGGAGGAGCGATAGAGGGGTTGGGTGTGACCCCTGTGATAAGGCCGGAACTAATTGGCACTAACACTAGACCCAAGAACAAAGGCAAAGTGACGAAGACGTTTGAACAGAGGAGGGGGGGGAAAGGAAAGAAAAAGAAGAAAAATTGCCTTTGTCTCAGGAAATATTGAAGGTTTATGTTAATTATTTCAAAGTCGATCACTCTCCACCAAGATCGGACGGATCTTGATTCTCAATTTCTACTATCCACTTCATCATCCCCGATATCCCCTCCCTTCCTCACAGAGTTGCTGTAGCAACTCTCCCCACGTCATACACACTTTTGTAAACCCAGCTAAAACCCAGCAGAGTGGATGAGTTTATCGAGGCGAGCTGAACATAATCTCCACTTTCAGTCGCTAATTGTGCTTTGACTGTTCCTCTCGAGTGGGATCGACTAGGATGGAGTCGAACATGAAACCGCCACTGGTGGATGTGTTCGGGCACTCTGTTTTTGACTTTTGCATAATCCATAAGACTAACGAATGTCGCACATCTAAGTTCGTGTTCGGGGAATAAGCAATAATTGTCCGGTCAATACCTTATGTAGTTAATTCATAGTAAGGGTCCCTGGGGGTATGCAATCACATGTTGAATTCTTGAAGCCATTGCAAGGGATATATAAGCAAACTACCAGATTAGGAATAGCTAGCCTAACACAGCTGAGTGTTCCATGGATTGGAGGCACGGGGACCCCGATAATTGGCAATTCCAACCACGGAACCTGCAAATTTAAAAAAAAAGAGGGAAAAAGGGAAAATAAATTTAATTTCTAGCCATATTATTCTGTTATTTAAGCAGCACCCTGCTTCCGTTGGCCAGTCTGCTTTCGTTAGTCTCGCCCTTGAATAGAATTGAGAATTCAGCCCTGGATACGGAGTACCCACATAGAACGCCAGCCCATAGTCATCCGTTGTAAAGGTGATTGTGGCCCCCTTGGGGAAGTAAAACACATCGCCCGGAGTCGCCGTGACCTTCTGGCCCGTCTCGTCCGCAATCTCAAACTTACCCTCGACGATAATCTTCATTTCGTCGTAGGTGTAGGTGTAGACGAGGGGTGTGCCCTTTTCCAGTCGGTAAAAGCCGCATGACATGGGCTTGTCTGGGTTCTCATTCTCGCTGTAGTATATTAGCAAAATTGCCTACCTAATACAATATGTATCAGCCATACCTTGATTCCACATCGCCCAAGAAGGCGTTCTCATTGGCGATAAGCGGCGGCTTGAAGGTAGATTGCGCCTTAGCGTGGTAGGTGAAGGGAACTGCCATGATTGGAGGAATCAGTATGACTATGAGGACCGATGTAATGTAGAGATAAATCAATATTCTAGTCAGTCCTCGTGGACTACCTCTTATTTATACTGATGTTGCCACAGTCTTCTATTGCATGGAATGAGGGGATACCCTTCAAAAAGAAAGACTTCCTCAAACTTAGGGCAACTCCATCCAGATAGAAAGCGATACTCGGATATGATGTCCTGACTAGGCAGTCCAACAGAGAACTGGTTGGGAGAAACTACGAAGAGGATGAGGGGCTTACGGGTGATGAGGGGAAGCTTGAAGCTCGAGATAAAGATCCGAAATGGTAGAGCGGGGTGACTGTTATCAATGGAGAGAAAACTACCGATAAGTTTTGATAGTATTGCTCAGCTAGATAATCCCTGATCCCACAGACTATGAGCCTACTTGGCGTGATAAGATTGCGTAGTTGAGTACATGGGTATGTAGACGATGGTGAGTCGGAAGGATTCCTTTACTTGATGCGGTTAGCCCTTCCCCATCGCGTCAACCCCGGAACCACGATCACTAGCTTTTGATGCTTGGCATAATATGTTTGCAATGACAAATACCTACAGACACACTTCCTAGATGCTCGAACTTCGAGAAGCGAGACAATAATGATTGGTCGACTGTGTACGGCAGCGTAAAGAACATCTTGGATTGGTGTAGTAACGACAGAAGGTAAAAGCGATTTTAAGCCCCAATACCCCAGCCCATTTGTATATCACAATTTATACTAGTCAGGCATGGTTGATAGAGAGTCATGCTATGCTGTCTGCGTTTGATAGTTTGTAGGATGTTTTGTCAATATCAACTCGAACTCAAGGTGAGAGAATGTTTTGTACTTTACGATCAAAAATCTACCAGAGCCGTAGTAAATAGACATTCAGTGGATCAAAGAAAGAGGCGTCACCAAATCCAGCTTGGAAAAGATAGTTGTAGATGTAGTAGTAGAATTTGGTATTTATCATTTAGTTCTAAACCCAACAACCCTAAAGTCACTAGCGGAAAGATCAAAATAAACATCTCGCATAGTAAGTAAGCCACGCAGTGCGTTCGTTTGATATTGGATCTAGGTGATGATTTCGTTTTATTAGTGAAGTATAACACTGAGCAGCATGCCCGACGTACCAGTCGTTTTAGAAGAAACAGTTCCATCTCCCATCTGCATTGGATAGTTGGACAAAGCTCCCAACTCTAAGAAATAATTGGATTTGCTCGTACCTAAACGGGACAGCAATGAAGACAGTCCATTTCCCAACAGCGGAACCTGAACACCTGAGAGATAGTCTGCAGAAATATCGGCACCATACATAGATAGGGATGCAGCAGGCTTTGAACGAGTGACTGGATACAAGTCCCACTTCTAGTCACGCAAGCACTGGCAATTATTGGATATCACAAAGTCTGAAAATGCTGGTGAGACAGATAGATGACATATGTAGAAAATATATTTGGTTCAGGCTAACTGTGAAAGCATGGATGCATGTTCTCCATGTGTCATTTTAATCTTGACGAAGGCTCTTGATAAGTGTGCCCAAAAGAAAGTGCTACGGGAAACATACAGCGGGGGGCGGGGGGACAACGTTCCTTGTTCCCGTTTCCCGCAGGCCGAGGTGCTTCTTGCTCTGTAATTTGACTTTGTTCTTCTTTCCTCCTTAAACCTTCAACTACCTCTAGCAAGTAAACTGCTCCCCTTTTCCTTTGATTTTTGGGATTCTCATGGCTAGTACTCTCACTTTGGTACGACCGACCATGACCCATAAATTACGTGCCTGCCCACTAGCTAGGTATAAACCGTTCGTTAGGGTCAGGTTGTTTGTTGCTGAACCAATTATGGCCTCGTTTTTAAACTGCATCAGTTGACTGCGTCGAATTCTAGATGTGAAGATGCCTCGTCTCATGTAGTATTCATTTGTGGAGCAGGCCGCTTCTCAGCCAACAGCTGTGATGATAATCATCCCTTCTTGGCTTTGCATGTTTTCAAGGTTGTCCGACACCCCCTGGACCGCTCTTGCTTGGTCGGCCTTCCGAGTCCTAGTCTCGATGCAGCTACTGTGAACCCGTTCGAGTCATGCTTCGAAAGGAAGGAGCCACTTCTGGCTCTGTTGAAGGCGTATTTCTCCAGCGTCAGTGTTCTAGACCGCCAAAAGATTATCTCGATAACTAAATTACACAGCTTTCGTGGGCTATCTCAATGTCACCTCCATTCACTTTGCCAATTTATTTCCAATCTGCTTTTCCTTTTAGTTTTATAAGAACATGAAAATTTACGGAATTGACAATGCCAACGGAAAAACAAGTGAAGGACACAGCCAATGATATTCTGAAATTGATTCAATGTGACAGGGCATTGTCGTCCACACATGGCTTCGCAAGATCGACTATTTTGACATTATGTTCAGCCTTTTTCAACAAGCGGCTCTGTGGTGGCCTCTCCCAGCGAAAGCAATACTGTCCCAGCTTCATTGCAGTGTTCCTAAACCGTCGCCCGTTCTCCAAACTGGCTTTCCATTCCTTGTGCCTATCTCAAATGGTACAGTGTACTCAGGTGCCGTTGGTAGGTCCGGCAAGGTAAGTCGGTGTGGTGCATTCAGGTATCGTTTCATGTCTTCATCCACGTTGGATCTTCGTGTTGCTACCCATTCATTCAAATGTTTGCGGAATTCTGATACCTTAGAGTCTAGTTCGCGATGGCTAGTCCACTCTGAGACATTTTGCACCATATCGATATTTCGCTCCCAGTAGGGGATACCTGAGAAGGATGTATCATTCGTGATAAGCTCGTAGTTTGTGAACACAACGCTACTAACGTCATCTCGACCGTCATGTAGGTTTTTCTCTCCAGATGTAGCACGATCGAAGTCGAAGAGAAGGATTTTATGTGTGGAAGAATCGATAAGCACATTCCGGGGTGTAATATCTTGATGCATGATCCCATATTCTAAAATCGAGAAAATCCACGAGTTGAGTAAGCTGCTGTAGCCACTCGAATCGAAAGGGAACCTTTGAATTGGCGAGAGTTCCACCCGGGATATACTTTGTTGTAAATCTAATCACCCGAGTCTCCTCAAGGACGACGCGACCAAATGGTACTATATTAGGATGTGCTGGTAGAGTTTTAAGAATGTTAAGCTCATCCCAGGCCATTTGTAGTCGTAAAGGCTTGTATAAGCAACCCTTTGAGGAATCCCTGATTCGTCTTCGTACGATAAAAGATTGACGAATGGTCCAAGTCGATCGAGCTCTTCGAGTTTAGAGTATTGAACTGTACGGCAATCGCTAAGCGACTCACAGAGCGAGAGAGGAGGGTATGCAATAAACATGGTATCATCTTCTTCCAGATCAGTTGAAAGCTCAGTAAGAAGGCCATCGTCATCGACTGTGATTGCACGAACTTCCGGTGATAGATAATCCGCTAATGGCGCTAAAATGGAAAGCTCTATATCCCCATCAGGCGGAAACAGCTTAGTGGTGCCTTTCACCTTGATCATCCGTAATTGATCCCAATCCCAGACATTGGAATAAAATTTGGTGGCAGGATTTTCGCTCGGGCCGTAGTAGCCCTGGCTGTCGGACCAAAATCTGTCTTGAGGGTTGATCATGGCAAATTGGTGGACATAGGTGATTTGAGCAATTTTGCTTTGGAGATGTGGGCGAGCGACTAAATTCGACGGTAGCTACTTAATAAGTGCCAATGATGATTTCAGAAAGTCCCGGAGGTCAGGTGAACGCAGTAAAAACATGATATTCCCAGTGATTTATGTATCCCCCACTTTGATGCGTCTTCTAAGCATGTCCTATCCAATGACAGTTCTTCACCGCTAGTTACCCCATTCGCCTTTAAGCCTCATAGACAACTAGACAAACCAAGCGCTTAAACTGTACCACGTATTGGTTAACGAGCATTAATTGGAGTGTTCATATCAAATATATTCCTTGCTTTAAGCATTCCTTTTCATTCTCATTGATATCAACGTAATTGGTATCAACCTTTCACTCGACCATTTTACCACCTATCTGCCCTCTTATATATCCGTTAAAGCTCTCTGATCAATATGAATGCGCAAATCTCACCAAATCAAACGGGAACTGATGTCAGCGATCGTCTAGTCAACAGCCCTCAAAACCCAAGGAGCTGCCCTTGCGGTTGGTATGTCTACTACTCGGCTGTCTGTGGGCATGTGTACCAGGAAGTGAAGTTCCAATGCGGCGCGTACCAGAACGTGGAATACGAAAGCGGCAACATTACTAGACCGTCTGGTCGAGGCAGATTCTGCAAGACCCCTGCACCGAAAAACATCGTCCAGGGGGTGCAGATCGACGCCAAATGCCAATATTACTGATTTTCTGTGTTCAAGTAAGTGAGACACGCTGCCAATTATGGGGGAAAAGACGTACTGAAAATGTTTTTAGCCATGATTCCTCCTGGGGACTCTTTGATAGATACTTGGAATATTCATTTGCTGTGGTTGTTATAGGGCAGTGAAGTTTGGGAGACTAGAGGGGAGGATCATTTGCAGATTGGTGTACCTAGTATACTGGCAGCTACATCTATAGATACTATAGCCTAAATGACATATACCGACACCTGGCCACGTGCGAGGGGAAAGTCCAGGGGTCGTTCTCACAAGTTTCGGAGAGAAGATAAATCTATATTGCTTGGCATGGCAGTTGACCCTTTTCTTTGTGTGCAAACCGAGGTCGATGAAAGCCAAAACCTCAGATTGCTCCATGAATCATGCGATTGAGCTGTCTGAGGCGAGGTCTAGAGCTACGAATTGACAAATCTCGGTGGAGGCAAAGCGGAGACGGCCCTTATCTCCGACGATCCTATGGATGCAGAAAGTATAAATACTATGGTCCGTCTGAAGCAAGTAAAGTCCGGCTTGATATCTCTCAACAGAGTTCCCCATTCCAACTTTTACAATTCCGAAGTCACTTCGCCAATAGCCCACCACTCCTTTCTTTTCATCCCCAACCCAAGATGCCGTTGACAATCCACCACCTTGGCCGCTCACAATCAGAGCGCATCGTCTGGCTCGCAGAAGAACTTGGCATCAAGTATGACTTTGTCTTCCACAAGCGCGACCCTATACTCGCCCCGCAATCACTCAAAGACCTGCATCCCTCCGGCACCGCACCGGTGATCGAAGACGACAACTCCCCATTTACGAAAAACAAGGTCGTGCTCGCTGAATCAGGTGCTATCATCGATTACATCATTGCCGCCTACGGAGAGGGTCGTCTCGCGCGCACACCGAAGGATGGCGAGGAATACATCCACTTCCTGGAGTGGTACCACTGGGCGAATGCCTCCCTCCAGCCAACCTTTTTCCGTGTGCTGATGAACCGGCGCCTAAGCAACGACCCAGAAGCACCGCACGTCAAACTGGGCGATGTGAAACTAGGCTGTGCGCTCTCAATGATTGAGGCGAGACTCGGTGAAACCGGATCCTACTTGGTTGGGAATGACGTCACCGCAGCGGATATCATGGCGATCTGTACTCTCACCACTATGAGAGGATTCTGCCCCATTGAGCTTGATGAGCAGAAACATAAAAACATCCTTGCTTATCTCAAGCGTGTTGGTGATCGGCCTGCTTATCAAAAGGCTATGAAGATTTGCGAGGGTGAAGATTTCGTGCCTCTTCTTGGTGCAAAGGCTGAGCAGTTTGTATTCCCTTATTAAGGTGGATCCGAATTTTATGCACCTATTGTAAATTATCCTGTACATAAATGTGAATTTCTAGAACTTTCAACTTACAAATCAGCAATGAGTGAGTGGGGCCTCCCGGGGAGAACGCGGCCTGGAAATCTTCAATCCTGAATAATATCTCCTCTAATATAGACTTTATGCCCACTTGCCTCTGGGACAAGGCATTGTAGAGGTTCTGCTAGTCGGTCTTAGGGTCAACAGTAAATTCCCGAAAGCAGCATTAGCACATCAAAGACGCACTTGGCTGAAAATCTAGGCAAACTGACTTGAAATGGCACTCTTCGTCAGGACCGAGACCCATTGTAGCAAGAAATGGATCAATATCGAACCCACCCAAGAATCTGACCAAGGACATAGGTCCTCTGCGCGTAAGGGAAGCCAGAGTCTTGAGTATCGCAGAGACTGCTGCTCTGTGAGAACTAGAGAACCGTCTCTCTGAAAACATAGGCTCCTGGTATGTTTACATTTTCGCAGTAGGGACAGTATCGGACGAGACCTTGCTTAGTAACGCCTACGAAGGCAAATGTGGCTTACTGCTTGCGTTGGATTCGGGTATTCCGGGCATAGGGGTGTGTTAAACACCGACACGGGCAATGATGGCCGAGCGAGGTTATTGGCAATCAAGATAATGTGAATGTGCGTCGGGTGTTGATCAAGCTGATCGATCGTGCTTCCGTATTACTGGAAATTCAAATTGGGTGGCCGTGGAGTTGCTGTGGGTAGTTGCTTGGGGCTTTCGAAATAGGGGTATCGCGCATTGGAAAGGTGGATAAGAGCGTTGAAGCCAAGTAAACCACCGTCATGGTGGACATATTAGTTCCTAGATCAACCATAATTTGTAGTCAGAGAGTAGATCACAGTTGCAGAAACAAGAATCTCAATCGAAAAAAAGCACATCGTTGTCATAACTCATCAACGAGAAAACAACAGATCCCTAAACGCCGCGCTGATTCAAGGCAACACCAAGTCAGGGCTGCAAAGTACAATTTCAACCTCAACAAAAGATAAATAAACGAGAGCCACAACAATGGGAACATCAAAACATATTCAAGGAAGGAACAAGAACTCGGACTGCTTGCTTTGTTAGCCGTCATATTAGTACAGCAGGCTAGGGTGCAAAGAACAGTAGATTCTTTCCGCCCAATGCCCAAACTTGCAACCAAGATTTGGGTTATTGCTGTCAAGCTAGCCAAGGAAAACTATGAATTGTGGAGTTAGCTTTTGCATGAAATAGTCTGACAGTTGTCAAACCCACCTTCCCATCCCCACTCAGCCATAACATTCACCCAGTGCAATCTGCCACGCACAGTTCTTTCAAATTCAATATTTTCAAGCGACGCGAGTGCGGAACCCCGTCGCGCAAACCTCGATGTAGGTTGCACTGATCTTCCTCCGATTGGGCCCTTGTGGGAACCATTGAGACTGTATTTGTGGAAATCGGTTGGCAGGGATGAGCTCATTTTCTCCCTGTCTCCTGATGAAAAAGACTCAGCAGCTCGCGAACTAGCTATTTCACGCTCTTTTCTAGCATTCATTGCGTCGCGGCGCTCCCAGACTTCCTTCAACACCTCCAAACAGCGGTCTATACCACCCAGCATCAAGCGAGACTGAATTGTGGTCCATCGATCCAAGACCCATTTTCGGTCATCGTCGGTGTCAACCTCAGCGCCAGCTGCTAGAAGAGGGAACATCTGTATGATAGTAGTCCGGGAGGTATAGGGCACAGTGGCAAGCAAGATCAGGACCCTCTTTGCTAATTCATCGGCTGGCTCGGATGGTATCTCTGGAACTGCCTGGTGCAGGTACAACAAAGTAGCCCAGCGATAGGCATGTGCAACTTGAATGCTATGCTGAACCTCGGAATTTGGGTCATCTGGTGGCTCAAACCATTGCGGTGGCTCCCATTGCTCGACAAGAGCTTTGAGTTCCATGGCCTGAGCCACAACCGACACTGTGTTCGACGAGCTCTTCCGCACATGCTGGATCAGCTTCGCCACCCGACTCATGAGAGGATATAGAGAAGTTGCACAGCCCATCAACGGATCAATATCGTGGACTGTGTCACTCGGAAGCTCAAAGATTGAGGAATCCCAATTTTGAGGACCACACTCGTCCAAAGAAGTTAGTCGTGCAATCACGTCCATATAGGACCATGTGTTATAGAGGAACCTGATCCGATCTAGCTCTTTGTCGGTGACACCCCCATGCATGCCGGACGCGATTACCTGGCACATTAATGTTTTTGCGCCTCGCAAATGTTGAATGCATGTGCGAGTGTGTTGGTCCCAAGTATCGGCAAATGCCAATGCCAGACTAGTCGCTAGCGCAGCATCCGCCCTCATATTCTGAATTTGTCCAGTTAGACCAGTTATGCTTTGGCGCAAGTGTTTTACTCCTTGGGCCCGAAGATGGGGGCTTTGCTTGACCGAGTGGAAAGCCGTCAGAGCAAAGATGGCATGGCGAAGTGCAGGCGTATCTTTTGCTAACGGCCAAATGAGTGTTCGCCACGGATTCTCTAATGCACCATCTTTGATAGACAAAATGCCACATGTGAGCTTATCAAACCGCAACACAAGCATTTCTGGACTCTCGGGTGCTAGGGTTGGGTTGTCCGACATGCTTGGAGGGTCGATATTGAAAGAATCTCGCTCTGGAAAGGTGAAGTTCCAGGGTCCCAGTCCTGGATCTGACTTCCGGATGATCTCCTCAATGTCATCATTTTCATCTTCCAATAGCTGGGAGAAACTCAGCCTCGATGCATCGTGATCTGGCTGCGCTGGACCAAAAGGCATATGTCTAGCATGACCAGCATCAACATCAGAAACCAGCGAGTTTGCGAGCGACAGAGAATCCTGGAAGGGATCCACAAAGGAGAGAAAATTGAAAGGGGGAGAGTCGGCGGACAATGACACGTTGATATCAAGGGGAGGCTCGGTGCACTCAGCCATGGAAACATCTTCTCGTATGAGAGGTAGATCTTCAAGGGAGCGTGCTTCAATAGATAGAAAGCTATTGATGCTAATGGGCGAGCTATGCAAAGGAGAGCCTGGAGGCGAACGAGAGCCATCAAACTTGTGGGACTGTATGCGAATTGGTGATGCCGATTGTTCAGTCGTTGGAGGAGTAGGAAAGCTCTGATCAATATTGGCGGCAGATGGAGCTTTGTGGGACGAAGGGCTTGCTGGAGAGGATTCATGAGTATATCAGGTCTAGTCCGCACAGCACCCGTAATTTACCTTTCTTGGCTTTGGTTACTGTAGGCCGCCCAGAAGCCAAGTTGATCTCTTCGAATGGTCTCCATTTGAAGTCTTTCTTGTATCCTCCACATTCGACTTTTCGCCTTTCGCACTGGTGACATGATGGCTTGATTTCGTCGCACTTCAACCGCTTTGCCTTGCAAGTGATGCAGCCTATAGTGGAGATTTGGTCAATTTTGTGGAAAATATGAAGTGGCCGTCTGTTTTATTCTTGCTTCGCTGATAGACATATCTAGCTTCACAGTTCTCCAACTTACCATTCCGACTCTTTGTCTGCTTTGGCTTTTGTGTACCAAGAGTTCCCCGCGCTGATGCCGGGTTGTCGGGCGGATCTAAACTCGATGGGATTTTAATGCTTTCCATACCAAGTCGATGTTGAAACCCATTCACACGGAAGAAAACGAGATATACAGAAATAGGGAGATGAAGACAGGGAGATAAGAGGCGATGACAGCGAATAGTAAGTGGAAGATAGGGAAATCCTACGGAGAGGAGATGATAAGCCAATGCGGGGGTGCCGATCTTGGAGAATGTCCAGGTGCGTTTTCCATTGCAATCTCAACCGGGTTGAGTATCGGCTATGTCGGATTTAATTTTATAATTTACTGAGCTGACGGGACATGTGTGTAATTCTAACTCGAGTCCGGAGTATCTGTGGACATATGTGGGTATCAACCACTATAAACAATAATAAACAACAAGATCACCGTGCGGGGATAATTTCTCCGACAAAATTACATTAGGACTACGGATACAACCACTAGTGACGACGAAAGTATCGTTTATAAGAAAACAAAAACCAAGGGAAAGATCTTTGATTGAAAAAGAAAAAAAAAGACAAACGGCGGCTGACACCCCCCGAAAGTGAGGGTGCAGACACGAACAGTCTTCACGAACTCAACTAGTACCGTTGCCGGTACTTGTTGGTGGAGGGGGCGGCCACAGGAAAGGACGGCGGCACCACAGGAATGGAGGGAGGCACCGCAGGGAGGGAGGGCACCACCAGAGGGAGGGAGGGAGGCACAATCATCGGAGCAGGGGGGGCGGCCGACACGGTCCCACGCTCCGCACAGACATCCATGTCCGGAGAAATATCACGGATCATGGTGTCGATGTAGACACCGGAGACGGAGACAAATTCAACGCCCTCCATGGGCAGAACACCCCCAAAATCCTCCTCAACAGGCGAAGGAGGATACTCGACATCCTCCATTCGCGAAAGAATGTCATTTTCGTTGCCAGCTGCGAGCTGCAGCTGGCCGGCGGGGAGGTAGGAGCTATAGGGCTCGAGGTGAGCCCACAGACGACCGACGAGGGTCTTCCACTCGTCGCCGAGCCCCAGGTTTTGGTGGAGGGCCACAGACGCGGCCAGGGGGCGGGAGTGGAGGAGGTCGAGGAGGTCGGAGGAGTAGGTGGACACCTGGGCTAACCGCATGTCAGTATTCGGTCTTTGCTTCAATGCTTGAAGACGGGTACTTACCAGGGTGTGGCATCCCTGCCCAGTGCAAGCCGAACCACGCAAACTCGGGAGCGAGGACGACACGGAGGAGGTAGGCTTGGGGGGAGCCGGGCCCCACGACAATGACCATGTTGCAAAGGAGCTCGGTCAGCTCCCAGGTCAGAACAGACATTTCGGGCTCGGAGCCCGCAGCAAACAGCTGGTCGAACAGGGACATCTCGTCCCACTTCAGAAGAGGACCAGCCAGGTACTCGCCAGCAAGTACCTGGAGGCCACTCTTCGAGAACGGAGGCATGGTGGCCAGCACCATTTTCGAAAAACAAAACAAGAAACAAGAAAAACAAGAAAAACAGGGAGAGGGAGGTGGAGATTGGTGAAGCTTACAGAGGGAAAAGAAGAGATCAAACTGGAGGATTTTACAGGATTTATATATGTGGCTAAGCAGTATTGAGGCTATTGATAGTCAACTCTAAAGCTCAACATTGTCTCTCCAAGGTGAATATCTCTATAGAGTGTGAAGTGTATTGAGTGATGCCTCGAGCAATTCTCTCAATGGGGTTGTTTGTTGTTGAACAATAGAGACTTATAGCTCTGTGTTATAATAAAGTCTCTGAATAGCATTGTTGAATTGATTCACCTGTCAGTGGACGCCCCATACCTGTGCGGGGTAGAAGTATGTATGCATATCATTAATCAATTTGTTCGAAGAGTGAATTAGATTGTTCGAATTGACTATTGCGAGTAAACCTTGGGGTTATTAGATAGCTTTACTGAAGTGGGTAGTGTGGTTTGTTGTCTAATTGATCTAATGATACGAGCATTAAAAAGAAGGATTGAAGTGAAATCTCGTTGAAATGAGGCTGAAGTGCAGGCAATGTGAGGCCCAAGTGAGAGTGATGTCAATTGATATTGATGGATGTTAAGGTCAGAACATAGGCAGCGGTAAGGAATGTCTCAAACACTGGTAGTCAAACTAGGCATCGGGGCTATTTCTAACCCAAGAAGCACTTACTTGCAAGGTGGTTGCCATGACCTCGTAGAATACAATGATTCCCTTCAACATTCATTACCACCACACCCTAGCACAGGCTAGCACATGGGTCATCTAACGAGAATAGTAGCACCTTTTTGCATATTCAACATTGAGGATGTGGAGTTGGTGGTTATCGAGTGCTATCCTACAAAACATACTATCAAACCGGAGTTTTAGGGCTCTCCTTGGAGCTAACGTGAAGAATCAAAAGATACTTAAAGACAAGTCCGACCTTGCCCAAAATGAATGTGCCAGTTGCAATATATGACAACAGGGAGCTTTTCAGTCGTTTTCGAAGGTACAAGAGATCGTAGATCTTGGGAGCATGCTGTCTGCGACCAACATCCCGACCGCTAATCGACAATTGTGGGCGACATATCCAGATTCAGAGAGACTTTTAAATAATCAAAGGAAAGATCGAGGCACAGAGACCTGGCATATTGGCAAATGAATATTATGTATGAAGTATACCCGTGTTGTAGTCCCGAGGTCCCGACTAACTAGGTACAGCCCTGTCCAGCCCGAGGCCCTGGATTAGTCATGTAGCGAATATCGGACCTCCGGAGTCAGTGGCGGGGAAACCCCAGATGTTCACGGCCCGAGGTCAAGCGGAGCCCTTGTTTTTGTTCAGCTTCTTTTATTTTACTTTCTTTCTGTTTCAATTCAACAATCGTCTGTTATTCTTCTACTTATACCGTTAGCCATGTTCCGTTCGATGCGGCGTTTGCCTCGACGCGCCCCCGTTGTGTTTACTGTTTCTTCGCGTTCATTGCGGCCTTTCACAAGCGGTTATACTCGGATGACGCCTGTTCAGCCCCCCGTATCCACCACCCTCCCCTCAGACGCATACCAGCTGCTGTCCACACAAGAGAAAGCAGGTGCAGCTGAAGATGCACTTTACGACCAACAGCTTCGCGATGTGGAATCATGGTGGAATTCGCCTCGCTACGAAGGCATCAAGCGCCCTTACACGGCGGCAGATGTTGTGAGCAAGCGTGGCTCCCTACAACAAACATACCCCAGTTCTTTGATGGCGCGAAAACTTTTCAATCTTCTCAACGAGCGAGCGGCTGCTGGTCAGCCCGTTCATACCAGTGAGTCCTTGGCCGGCTAGGCTCCAATTGTGACAAATCTGACCTCGGTTCTGCACACAAGTGGGAGCTATCGACCCTGTCCAAATGACGCAGCAAGCCCCCAACCAAGAGATTCTGTATGTCTCGGGCTGGGCTTGCTCTTCACTTTTGACAAGTACCAACGAAGTATCGCCCGATTTTGGCGATTATCCCTACAATACCGTCCCGAACCAGGTCCAGCGTCTGTTCAAGGCCCAGTCCATGCATGACCGAAAACAGTGGGACACGAGGCGAAAGATGACCCCAGAGGAGCGAAAGGCTACACCTTACACTGATTATATGCGACCAATCGTTGCAGATGGTGATACCGGGTATGTTAATGGTTGGGATTGAATGTACGAAGTGTTACTAATTCTCTCGGTGCAGCCATGGTGGACTATCGGCTGTTTTAAAACTCGCTAAGCTATTTGCGGAGAATGGTGCCGCGGCCGTTCATTTTGAGGATCAATTGCACGGCGGAAAGAAGTGCGGCCATCTTGCAGGCAAAGTGCTTGTCCCAATGGGTGAACACATCAACCGACTGGTCGCAGCTCGATTCCAGTGGGATATGATGGGATGTGAGAACCTAGTCATTGCCCGAACAGATTCCGAGAGCGGCCGACTCATCAGCAGCGCCATCGATGTGCGTGATCACGAATTCATCCTTGGTATTGCGGAAGATGTGGAACCTCTGGCTGAGACCCTACAAGCTATGGAACGAGAGGGCGCCTCACCCAAGGAAATCGACACATTCGAGCTTGACTGGGTCAAGAGGCACAAGCTTATTACACTAGATGAAGGTATGTTTACTGGTTCCTTATCAAACGAACCCATTTACTAACAATATGCAGCTGTCGACGCTCATCTAGAGTCAGAGGGTGCTCCCCAGTCTTCTCGGGATGCGTACAAGGCCTTTGTTAAAAAGAACCCCGATCTTTCCTTCTCCCGTCGCCGTGCCCTGGCAAACGATTACGCCAAAACACCTGTTGTGTGGTCATGTGATAGTCCGCGCACTCGCGAGGGATTCTACCACTACTCCGCAGGGTTCCCTGCTGCCACTAAGCGTGCGAAGGAGTTTGCTCCTTATGCAGATCTTCTTTGGGTTGAAACCGGTGATCCAGATGTCGAGAAGGCCGGAACACTGGCCGGTGAAGTGCGGGCAGTGTACCCAGGCAAGAAGCTTGTCTACAACCTCAGTCCTTCATTCAACTGGATGGGACAAGGATTTGATGAGGCTTCCCTCAAGTCCTTCATCTGGGATATTGCCAAGCATGGGTAAGCTCAACATTGCATCTATCTCGCTTCGACCGACTAACTTCTTCCAGATTTGTCCTGCAACTTATTTCCTTGGCTGGTCTGCACACAAACGCTACTATCACGACCGAACTTTCGCGCGCATTCAAGGATGAGGGTATGTTGGCTTACGTCCGTCTTGTCCAGTCCCGCGAGAAGGAGCTCGGTGTCGATGTTCTCACCCACCAGAAGTGGAGTGGCGCGCCTTACATGGATGGAATCATGGGTGCTATTCAAAGTGGGAGTAGCAGCAGCAAGAGCATGGGTGAGGGTAACACAGAAAAGGGTAGGTCCTCGTGCACCGATGTAGCAGGGTCAAATTGCTAACAAAAAGACTTAGGATTCTAATTCCGATTCAAAAGCTATGGATTGGCAAATTTTGGTTTCTAACTAGCGAGTATTTGATATTGAGACACATGAGATAACAATGCCCACATGACGTGCAAATGTTAAAACTCCCTTTTTTATTTATCTTGCAACCTACCTAGGTATCCGTAGAACCTTAGAATTCTAATTGAAAGTTCCAATTGAGGTGAGCTAAATACCATTCAGTTTCACGGTCTTGTATTACAAGGGGGCGTTCATGGTTCCGATTCGACAGTTGCGACTAACATTTGAGATTTCCGGATTCCTAGTTCAGAGAAGCTATTTTTCTCTAGGACTCATTCCAAAAGCAGTAATATTCAGTTAAAAACATCGACTAATGTTTTCGAGCTAGCTCAATCAGCTCACCCCTGAACATTTTCCTTTGAGCATAGATATTGCCTCGCCAATCAATTCACACCAATGGTAAGATCCGCAGTCTACTTGCAGACCCCCTGATTCTCGTGAGCAAGTTGCTGTATGATAATGTTAGTCTCTGATATCAAGATACTTTCGGTCAAAGACAAGAAGACCTACCAAGCAAAAGCCACTCGCACAGTTTCCTGCGCTGCCATCGGCTTTGCAAGGATATCCAACGCCAATCTAAATGATGGTTAGTCACTTCAATGATGCTGGTGTTTATATGTTCGAACTTACCAGAGCAGGGGCCTTGTCTGCAGCCAGAGCAGAGCTGATGATGGCCATAAAAGCGATGAAGATGAAGCGCATATTGTAATTGGAGGAATTATGGCTCAACTTTGGAAGTATCATATGTGAAATGGTACTGGAGGGATGAATCTAATTCAAAGGTCAGCCGGATGATGGTATTTATATTTCTCTACAAGCCCTCTTGTTGCTCGGCATATTGAATCTGTTGTCTTGGTAGTGTTGCAGAGTAGGCATTCGGAGAAAAGGCTTGGTCAGGTACATTTTTGTTTTGGGAATCATCTTGCCCATCTGCACGTAACGAAAGCACCTGAGTAAGGAACAGCCCATAGAAAGGGGTCTGTCGTCTTGTTACGTTTTAAACGTTGACTGCTAGATTATGTGTTTCGTATTGGAAATTGGTCTATGATGTACTACTTCAGAGGCGCCACGGCCGAGTTCAGGTTTGCAGCTTCTCGTCCTTTTTTGTTTTCTATCAAGCCACTAAATCCACGATTCTCTTTCCAGAATCTTTATCCTAGCCTCTTGGAACAGAATGTCTAACCATCGTATTTGTGGAGAGGAAGAGTCTTATGGTGTTGCTCCTAGCATTACAGCCCCTTTTGTATATTGCAGACAACTTGATTGAGTAGTATTTTGATTCAGCCTGCATGGGTACTTGGGCCTATCAACAATCTGAACTTGCTTGTTTTTCATTAGAGCCTGTAGATTGTGACACAAAAAGCCATCAAAGAGTAAATATTTCTGCAAGGGGATAGTACGTTCAATGACAGTGGGAGATACCGAGAAAGATACTCGGGCTTCTCGGTGGAAATCCAAATATTCCAGATTGTCAATGACCGA